ATATTAACATATGAGAAATTAATATGTTATAGTTACTTTCCCTCAGTGAAATACATACTAGTCAGTCCCAGTCACAGTTTCACTCATGGTTTTTGCCCATGTGCTTTCTGGGTAAAAATCAATCGAGAAACGCCCCCCCGCCCCCGCAGCAACAAATCCTAAGCGATGTCGTGTGGAACTATAACGCACTGAGTGAATGGGGAAGTTTGCGTGTTGTGGTGGAAAATTACCTCGGTGTTGGGGCTGAAGCACGTAAAAATGCATCAGCACGACAATCTAATATGGCATAAAAACAATGCCATACTTGACTTAGTTTGGCTATATCGAGGCTCACCCCAGGTGAAAAAAGTATACTTAGAAATTAGAACTTTAAACATAATTGTGCTGCCTTTTGTTTAGTTAAGCTAGACCAGCAAGGTTTTGAAAACCGTACTAGAGCACCCCCTGGTGGATATTTTTGTTATGTTGCTTTTGTGATGCTAAAATAAAAAAAATAGATTAAAGATGGTGGAACGCAACACCAAACAGCTCGTGGAGTAGCTGATTATTGTCTTTATTTGTTTTGTTTCAGACAAGAGTTGTTCGTAAGTATTTGTTAATTGTGAAAATAAATTGTGAGAAAAAAAAAGGAATGCTAATTTTGGACTCATCAAAATGGAAAAGCTTGCCTCATCAAAGAACAACCCGTCAACGTGTAAACTAGGGGGAAAATATGACTTAATAATAAATTGCAGAGTGAAGGGAAAGCCTCAGCTAACCTACAGCCTTGATCTAAATTTTTTGGTAAACAAACACAAACAGGCAGTTTCTGACCGGTCAACGTCGACGCCGGTGTGGAGCTGCTGCAGCAGCAGGCTGTGAAGCTGCCTTTGGCCCTCTGTCTCCTGCTCCTCCAGCAGGGGGCCCTCCTCGCAGGCTCTCCGGCTCACTCTGAGGAGACACGTCAATACTCAGGGCTCTGATGACATGGACACTGAATCATAACACAATGGTGTTGCAATCATCTCTCACGTCACACGCGGTTGGAAATTGTGCAACAACACAAGACTTAGAAGAACAGCATTAAGAGTGGACTTTGTTTTGGTTATGTCTTATATATTATAGAAAGGAATTTTTCATGAGCAAGAAGCATTACTACATGACATTAGCAAAGTGCAAATTGTTCAAAATGATGTATTAAATATATAAGGAGATGCCCAAATTATTTTTTTTTCATTAAGAAACATTCTTTAGGTTTCGTAATTTATTAATTGCTGCAAAACCAACAGAAATAAAGGTGAAACAGCACAACACTGGGTGACCCTTTGAGTTTTGATGCCACTCAGACACTTATTGATGTGTTTATATGTTTATCTCCATCATGAAGACAGTAATAAAATATAATATATTTACATCTGGAACCATTTGTAGCAACATTTGCATGCATTTCTTTCTGCAATTCTCACTTGACTAACATGAAGGAGTCTGAAATGAATATGAATATGTTTTTTGAACAGTTTTCTTGTTTCTTAAATGGTTAACATAAATTAAACTTGCTATTAAAATGGGTAGGTTTATCATATTTGTGTTTTATATCTGATTTAAAGTAATAAAAATTGTGCTGAATATTGCATCGCCCCCAATATCTTTGTTAGGACAAATACCACAAACTATTATGATACAAATTTTTAAAAGTTCATATAATCAACTCCTACTGCCCATAAAAGTGTCCTGAGTATATGACATGATTATCATTAAAGTTAAAAATCCAGGAAGCAAATATTATTTTGAATTGTTTACTTCAATGTAAAAAATTGTAAACAAAACACCTTGCCACTACTGTTATGCAAAATAACAAATGTCCTACTAGTAAGAGGAAATAGTTTCCTCAGCTGAATACTATCCAAAACCAGAGGGAAAAATTATCCAAAAAAGCAATAATTCAAACTAATAAAATTATGAATAAAATCTTACAAATCAGAAGTAAATAAACAGAGCTGCTCCAACTATGTTGGTTTCAATGTAAGTGCAGCTTTGGAAAAAACAAAGTAGATTGTTAGTACTTAACAGGGGAAAGAAGAAAAGACAACATAGATGACCTTGGGGAAACAACCATTGTCAATTAAAAGGGAAAGGAGCAGTCAGCTGATGCTAATGAAATGCCATTGATTAAATTATCAACAGGAAGTTTGACTATCTCTACAAACACAGGGACTTAGTCAACTGCCATTGAAAAGCAAAATAAATCTGGGAAGAGTTATAAGGCAATTACCAATGCAATACTATTTTTATTCATTCTACAGCTAAAAAGCCTATTCACAAGGGAATTTCAGTTCCTAGGAGACTGAAAAGGACCCAAAAGGCTTTGAAACAATGACATTTGGAGATATTTAGACCAAAATGTGAATGTATAAAACCTCCTTGAAGCACAGTGGTGGACAGATCGTGACTTCAGCTTCACTTTCTGTTACGTTTCCCATTTTATACGAAATAAACAACCTCCGGGGCCTGGATAGAAACAAGCTGTGCAGCAGAATGTCTATGTGAGCACTAAGCACAAATGTACACGGTAAAACTTAACTTATGTTCAACTAAAACCGTTATAAACAGTAAAACACATAACTGCTAGCTTGGAACAGTGGCACTATCTCCATGACAACAAGAGGAAAATGACGAACTAAGCGACGCATCAGCTAAAACAACAGCTCTAGGTCTGCATTTTCACACAATTTCGAGATTAAAGTGAAACTAAAATCAAATGTTTTTTAGTCAAGCTAAAGGAAATGCTTTAAAAAAAACAACTGTATCTCACACAGAAAGTGTTGTTTACCTTCGCATGTTTCCCGTTTCAGATTTCCGAATCCGGAAACAAGGAATTATGGGAAATGCAGTTGAATTTCGACGTGTTCAACTACATAAGGTTGGTTTTATCTTTACAGTAGTGGAACAATTAATCTATAGATAACTTAAGTGAGAGGAATTTAGAAGACAAAGTGAAACTTCTTTTTTTTAATGAAATAATACATGACAAAAGTTTAATTGAATTTCTTAAAAAGCTCTATTGTTTCCAATAACGTTTTGCCTATGTAGAAATCAAAATAAGTCCTGACAAGCCTGCATATTTTCTTTTCTGTTGCGACAAAATATACACGAGGAAATAAAGACGATTAAAATCCAGGAGCCACACCTTGCTTTTCTAGGGGTGTGCCTATAAACCTGTCTTTCATTAGTAATAGCTGTTTTCTTTCTAGGACCAAAAGGCTTAAAATAACAAATTAATGTGTTAAACAGATATTTTTCTTTATAACCCTTTAAAAATCACTGTTCCAAAAACAATAAATGCAAAATGTGACAAAAATTTAACAAGATATTACATGTTCAAAATAATGCCATATAATTTTTAGCTAATTATTTATCGTAAAACTATTTAAACTGTCTGGCAAATACACATGAACATCTAGATAATACAGGCACCATTCAATTTACAACTAAATTATTTGACAGAAGGTAGTTTAAAAATAAAGTTTAAATAATTACTTATTTTCTTTAATTTTTTTAACAACCCATTTAGATATTTTAAAGAATCCATTTCGCTATTTTAAAGAATGGTCCTATTTTATGTATGTATATGTGTGTGTGTATACTAAATTCATACATTATATATATATATATATATATATATATATATATATATATATATATATATATATATATATATATATAGCTATATACTAATGTGTGTGTTCTAATCATTTTTTATAATTTTTTTTCTTCTAAATAAATGTTTTCTATTTTTTTCCTAAATGCCATATTAATTTTATCATAACCTTTAACAATAATGACATAAATTAGTTATCCTATATACATTTACACATAAAAACATAAACAAAATATATAAAATAATCGTCAATCTAAATTGTAAAAAGGTACATAATGTGAGGTATGTATTTCTGTATTTCCAATTTTATAATTTCATTTATGTAAATATTCGTCTCATAACTTATATATTTAAGAATATTCGGCTGTTGCGACTATTCTTTCGTCTATATGAGTGTTTTATCTGTCAAAGGTGAAGCTTTGTCGGATGTGTCCACACCCTCCGCACCCACGAGCGGCCTCAATTAGCTCTCGGCATGACGTCAGTAAGGTGACATGGGCGCTGCATGCTATTAAGGGGCTGCATGAGCTGCACATTGCATGCATTATCCCCCTTCTCTCTCAGCATTTGAAGAGGATTGTGCAGCGGGCCCTGGTCCGTCCGGTCCGGCTCGATCGGGCTCGGTTCCGCTCCTCTGCAGGGCTGCAGCTCTGCTGACTGACAGAGAGATGAGGGGTGGGGACGCAGGGTGGGGTCACAAGCAGGGAGAGGCGGAGGAGGAAAAGGCAGAGAGAGAGAGCCCAGCCCTTGAATACACGGCAACAACAAGCCGACTCAGAGAGGGAGAGACGCAGAAAGCCCCGGCCGTATTTCTGATTTTGTTTTGGGGGGATGAAGCTCAGGGAGCCGTCGACGCTGCTGCGGACATGAACTGAAAAGACACACTGGAAGAGGCGGGAATCGGTGTTCCTATATATCCCGAAAATTCACAGTAAAGGTGGAAAAAAAAAAAATAGCACCGCCCCAAAAAAAGAGCGAACCTCCTGTCTCCCCTCTGACAGTTCTTGTTCAGATAGTGCTACACCCAAAGCCCCGATCGACCCCCTCCTGCTCCTGCTGCTCCACCCCTCCGCCGCTGCACCGCTCCGGCAACCGAGATGCACACGGAGACCCGTAACAAGAAAGTAAGTGCACCTTATTCCTGGTCAGAGGAACAAACAGTGACATCTGCCTTTGTGGATGATCTGCCTGTACACAAGCAGAGTTGACATGTCAGCCTAACATGTGTCTGATCATTTAAATGTCAGTAAGCTGTGTCTGCTGCAGCCACGCGCATCCTTTTTATTCTGCAAACAGCGGAGTTTTGTAACCTCATTGCCTTTGCAAGTGCATCATACAGGGGAGTCCTGTCATTTCCACGCTAAAACACGGAAGCTTCTGCACCCCTCTCTCTCTCTGCGTGTGTGTCTCTCTCTCTATGTGTGTGTGATGGTAGTTCAGGTTCAATTTTAAATGCTCCGAGATCCCAGGGAAGCAGGAAGGAAACGGAAGGTAGCTTCTGCAGCTTGCAGGACACCATCTTAGCTTTTAAAGGGCCAGCAGTCTCTTTTGCAAACGTCCATGGGAAGCAGCCAGGTGCACTGCCTCCAGGTACTCTCTGTACCATCAGTTTTGTAGCACCTTGCTAAAAAGTAGGGCTGGGCAACATTGCTTAAAAATAAAATCTTAGATTTTTTTTTTATTTACCATATCCAATTTTTATTTTTTTTTATTCTAAAAAATAAATTACAAATGACAAAATGTTTTTAAAAAGGGGATTTCATTCCAGTCATCCATTCTGAGTTGTTCAATGGATTATTATGAGCAGGCTATGTTCATCATATTTTTTTTTGTTTTATTCCAACAATATAGATGCAACTTTATCATCATCCAAGATGTCCATCTTGAAAATTAAGAGTTTAAGTAATTTTAATAAGAAAAAAAGCTGCTAGGACTGATGTGACCAGGTCAGTACATGTAACTCTTTCTTCAAAATAGACTTAATCCTTAACTCAATCGCTTCAAAGTCCTGTTACTAATAATAATTTGATGCTGAAGTTTTAAAATATGAAGCATTTACTTATATGTAAAACCTATACCAAAGTATAACTTCAAATTTATTTATTTTTCATGTTGGAATTCTCATAACATTACTTCTTTATTCTCTTAATATTAAATCCTTATTCTTATTCTTGTAATTAAAAAAAATGTAACCCGGTCTTAACATTTAAAGTCCAGATAAATAGAAGCTGCAAAACAAGATGGCCGCCCTGGGGCGCTGACATCACTCTATGAAAACACAAGGAGTACATTAGTGAAAAAAAAAAATTCAGATTTCCAAATAATTAAGTTGTCAGTCAACAATTCAGTTAATTGATAAAATTGATTTCTTGATTAAATTTTCTGAAAGGGTTATATTAGGAATTTATGCCATAAATTAGTGCATAATTGCTATTTTTTTGTCCGTTCTCCTTTGCAACATAACTCTCTCTCAGTCAGATTGGATGGGTAACATGAGCTTTCCGGTCTCACCACAACTGGTTTTGGACCTGCACTTTGACTGGGCCATTCTACAAAGTAAATATGCTTTGATTTCAACCAGTGGTGGACAACTCCAGTGTGATGTCCAGACTCTAAAAAACATTTAACATTTTAGGATACCATACCTCGAGGAGTGGACTAGACACTTGTGTTTATAGATGATTTTTTCCCTCCAACACCGCTGATTCAGACGGTTGAATTGGTATCCTACTTATGAGTTGTTTGTTTGATTTACATGCATTAGACCAGCGAGAAGGCTGTTCGGTGAAGCAGCATTGTTGTCATGAGTATTAGGTTAGTTGGTCTCTTTAAATTGCTTTTAGATATCCCACTGTAGAAAACCACCCCACTACATGATGCTGCCACTGCTTTTTATTTAAAGATGGTGTTTTTTTGGTGATGTTTTTGCATGTAGGCCAAAAAATTAAGTTTTGTTATCTGATTAGAGGACCTTCTTCTACATCAGGAGACTCCAGTCCTCAAGCGCCACTGTCCTGCAGTTTTTAGATGTGCCACAGGTACAAAACACTGGACTGAAATGACTTAATTACCTCCATCCTGAGTAGATAAGTTCTCCAGAGCCTTGATAATGACCTAATTATTCTATTCAGGTGTGGTGCAGCAGAGTCGCATCTAAAAGTTGCAGGGCAGTGGCCCTCCAGGACCACTGTGTCCTGTGTTCTATATGCTTCCAGTGTTCTCGATGTGGCTTGTGGGATGCTAAAAGCACGTCTCCTCAGGACTTTTTTTTTTTTTTAAATAATAGTCTTCTTCTTGCTACTTTTTTTTAAGGTCAGATTTGTGTAGTGCATGACAAATGGATGTCCTCAGCAGATTCTAAACTTCAACGTCTTTCCACATTCAGATGATGGATGGCTCTGTGAGCGTTCAAAGCTTGGCACATTGTTTGATAAACTTCTCCACATTTTTCTCCCTGACCTCTCTGCTGTGGTCACCGTGATGCTGTTTGTTCACTATTGCTCTCTAACAAACCTCTGATGCTTTTATGGAACAGCTGCATTCATGATGAGGTTAAATTACCCACAGGTGGGTTCATGAATGCACACAGTTGCATTGGATTTAAATTCGGGTTTTCGGGGCAACATATGTGTATGATACATTTTAAAAGTTCTCTTTGCCAAATGATTTAAATAATGTATTATGGAGTGTAATCTTAATTTTTTTTCATTTAAATTAATAATTATTTTAAAATCAAACCTGCTCTTCAGGTGTAATCGCTGCTACTTCATGTTAAATTCCCATTTAACTTCCTCAGCAGAGTTTAAGTATCATCCAGTGACAGTTCATGACAGCATATTGGTCATGATGTCATTAATCTCACCGATATTCTGATCTCTCATACCTTTCATCTGCTGGGCTGAAAGCCTGTGAAAAAGCTGCTGGGTTGAGAGGGATGAGGCAGCTAGGGGGAAGTGTAGTTTTACAAACATTTCTGCGAGTCAGAACTGAAATATTCCCAGCAGTGTTCCTCTCTTGGCTGAAAACGCAAGTGGGGGGAGAGAAAGGAAGTTTCAGTATCTGCCACATTGTTTTAAATGGCAACACGTTTCAATCAACTTTTTTTTTAAGCAACAACTGCTTTTGAACGTTTTAGTATCCTCTGTGTCAGATTAAATGTGGCTTGAGTTTCTTTTATGTAAAACCTGTGTGAATCGTCAAAGAAACCCTGGACTCCAGGGTAAACATGAGACTGCTTCGGTGAATGAAAGTTTTGTAGCACAAAGTGGAAACCAATAGATCTGCCTGCAGCCTGGTGATTGAAGATCACAAGGCTGAAACTCTCAACCTGCAAAATCTAAAGTTAATTCTGCTTTATAGAAATTAACCCGACTCTTATTACTTGCACCTAAATTCAGCCTGTGGACATGCATGCAAGTATTGTAAATCTGCTTTATTTACAATAGCCGCTGTTGAAACGCATCAGCAGCTTTTTTCGTGCATTTTTAAATTGTGCACTGAGAGCAAAAATGCAGCGTAACTGCAGCTGTTTTTCTCATGTGCCCTATGACGTTACCCCTTTTGTTGCTTTGTAACACAAAGGTCTTCTTGGTCTGACAGAATGCTTATTGTAGGCTTGTCACTTTTTTTTTTTTTCTGAACAAACCACAAAAATAAATAACGCCCCACATCCTGCGTGGCAGACGATTTCCTCTTATTGAGAGCTGCAGAAGTACAGCTGCTGCGGTTCAGGCTGTTATGAACTGTAGTTGCACTGGAAGACACCTGTCACTTGGCAGCAACGCAGCCACTTGTTTACATAGTTGTTGGTTGAAATATGCAAGCGAAATTGCATCAACTTTTGATTCCTGTGCCCTGGTTTTATATGTTGGGACATGTCAAAAATGATCTGTTTTTTGTCAGATTTTCTAAATTAACTTTGCGTAAATGCGTCAGATCACTCATTGTTTCTCGAACATGCAGTAACTTTTAGGAGCCTTTTCTGTACGAGTTTATCATTCCCTTCAGAATGTTTGCTGTTTCCAGATTGATGTGCAGCAACTGTAGCTTCTTTACCACATCGATTATGGCTGATGTCTTTCTGTCTTGGGGTGTGTGCTGCAGAGCACCAGACTATGAAAACTCCTGCTTTCATGGAGGTGGCCACATTGATGATCAATTAATCAAGTGCATCTGATCAGCAGCACCTGCCCAGGGAAGCAGCAAGTGTGTCTTAAGTTTTTCACACAAAGCTTTTACATTTTGGCATCAGTGCTGCCTAATTAACAGTGACAATCTTCTATACCAGTAGCTCTTGGACAAAAGTATATTCATATATTCTTTACTGTGTCCATATGTAGTTAATGGCCATTCTGTCACAGCCAGTCAGTGAAAGTAGTTTGTCATAAATGTCAGGTTGGTTTGTTAGAAATGTTTTGTTGAGTCTTTTTATTTAATTTTAGAGAAAACCCACTTACCCATTTACCACTAGGACCAATCTAAGCATGATCTGTGCTTTACATTCAGTGGGTCAGCTGAGACGTTGACACGCAAATGAGGTCAGTCGTCCGACATCAGCAGGACATCCACAGCAAAGGTTGCAGTGGTGCAAAGTCCAGCTATGTATGAAAGGGAGGGAAGCGATGCTGCACAGTAGGTAATGATTCACTAACCTGCTGAGCAAAAATTGATCTCTGAGATATCAAAACTTTTGTCCCTCATACACAGTTTGAGTTAGTTTTAATGTGTTTTAACTTCACATTCGTAAACTTGTCTGCTGTTTTCAAGCATTGTAGCAACTTCTGCAATGCAAGCGCCTCCATTTGGAGTCAGATAGGAGATCTGTTGTTTCTGCTTAAACTGTCAAAGGTCATGCTTCAAAATAAAATGTGCATTTTGGTGCCACCTCTTTGCTAGGGAGAGGAAGTGATTACTTTTTCCAAACTGGGAGGAAAACCTCACATGATTTTGCTTTTATTCTCCTTAGTAAACGACAAAATGCTTTCTCAAATGAGTTTTTAATCACTAACTTTATTATTTTTTACTAAGGTTTTGTTGTTTCTGCTCATCATGTGGTAAATGTAGCTCATGGCTGTGTTCAAAATTGCTATTTTCAGCTTGTAAACACTGTTGCTGATGGTGCTTA